GGGGGGGGGGTGCGCAGGCCCAGCGTAAGAGATTTTCCGTTGATGGGCTTATGGGTCTTTTTGTGTTTTTCTTGTTTTGGGTGCTTTTCCATGTCGGGTGTGCCCTGTCGGCACGGGGTTGGGTGGGGAACGGAAAAAGGTGTGGGGAGGTGGCGATTGTTTTTTCTCGTCGTTTGCTTGCTGTGTGTTTGGGTCTTTAAAGCGGTGATGTGGTGAGGGCATCGTTTTGTTTGATTTGTAAATTGGGTGCCGCTTTATTGGCGAGGGTGGTTGTGGGCAATGTGGAAAAGTGGTTGTGTTTGGCTATCTTTTCCTTTCTGTATGTGCCACTGGGCCGTGACTTATTCTCTTCCGAAGAATCATAAGAGGATTTTCAAATATTGCTGCGTACTTTTTTCTAATACCTAGCTGATGTATATCGTTTTTTTTTGGTATGAAAATACGTCACATTTTTCAAGAGCTGGATTGGGATTTGATTATGGCCCCCTGACACTCTAATGGTAGGTCGTATATCTTTCCTTGCTTTTTACCCAAGTGGAGTTTACCCCTATTGCTATTTTCTTAATATCCTTGATGCTTGGCTGTGTGTGTGTGTGTTCGAAATGCCTTACTTTACTGTTATGAAAATTTCTCTTCTATATTTGTTCTCCTGTTTTTCTTCTCGTTTCTGTTGTAAGAATTAAAGAGAAAAAGCGAGGCAATGGGCGGTGAAGAGGGGGATGCTTCGAAAGAGGTAAAGGAAACGGAGACAGCTGCAACACACACGTTTTCAGTAAATGCTGCGCCTTTTGAACCTGGGGCAAATACGTCGTCTTTTATACCAGAGAAATGGCAAGAACCGCCGTCTGTAGCACAACCTCAGGCTTTAGCTATGGGGTCGAGTGCACCATGGGCTTATTCAGCGCCGTATTACGACATGATGCTTCTAACTGCTAATATGAGGGCTGTGGCACAAATGAACGCCCTTATTTCAACTGGGATAAGACGTTACAGTGGTACACCAATTGTGCGAGCATCAAGCCCTACTAAACGAAATATGAATACATCCGAAGGTGCGAAAGGAACAGACCGAGGTAGTCTTTCAATTCATGCCAAACCATGGTCTCCAACACCTGAGTCAGGACTTAATCAAGAAGAGGGTGATACGTACATACAGCTTGAGAAGGGTTGGATAAAAGTGCCCTATCGCGGCAAGATGGTTGTCGCGCCTGTAGCATTCAAGGAAATGAGTAGTCTCTTCGTTCACTCTCTCACCGTGAGGCCTATTGAGAAACCTAGAATTCACTTGGGACTCTTTAACTATCTTTGTGCGCGGTGTGCGACGCGATCGTTTTTTGGGAGGCTCTCTTGCAGAGGAGCGGATGTGATTTTGAAAGGTGTTGCAGGAGATATTCCACCGTTGCGGATAGCCCATTTGATTGAACAAGTTACGGGGGATGTTGTTTGTGCACTTTTCACTGAAGGCGACCATTTTGAGTACGAATTGTGGCTGGAGAAGCCTGAAAATGCAGCCCATCTTGTTAGCACTGTTTCTGGGGCCCTCTGGACATGTCCAATGTTTCATGGATATGCTGTACATACTAAAACAGAGGATGAGAAAACTTTCTTGCGTGAATACATTGCGAGTCTTAAAGAGGGTTTTCCAGAGCCAACACCATACCCCATGTGCTGCGTGGAAGCCATTGCATCAACAACTGCGAATGAAAAGGTTAAATAGTACAAACATATTAAGAATTCTGAATTGATTTAAGGCCATCATTGCTTTCAATGTATGAAGCTACTTTAGGTAGACTCCTAGATGGTCTAGGGAGGTCTTTTTTTTCCTTGTCTTCTTTTTTTGCATTCTTATACTAGGTAGAGGAATACAAAATGCCGTTGGAGAGCCAGAGTGGTTCGTCTCGGATGACTACACAGCCAGACAAACCAGCTGTGGCATCATACACTCCAGAAGAACAGGTATTTCATCGTCTGTTTCCTCAAGTACCCTTGTCGGAAAAGTTGGTAGAATCTCGTCAATGTGCCTTTATGAGCAAAAAGAAAAAATTTGCTCGTATGGGGACACTGTATGCGTCGTCCCTACGAATCTGCTTTAGTTCCTCCTTTCTCAAAGAGCCTGTGATGGTGCGATGGGAAGACGTCGCATCCGTTGAAAAGGGAACAAGTTTTCTCTTTGAGGCGATTGTTATGAAACTGAAAAATGGCGAGGAATTCATTTTTTCTGGTTTTTTGTCCGGGGGAGCTGCGCAGACATTCAAACTTCTCAAGACACTCTGGACTGTTCGTGCAAGGTACGCTTTTTCGGACGCATTGGTTTCGACCTCAACTGGTGTTTCCCCCTTGGCCCCCGATGCTGCTTCGGTTCACTCCTCTGATGTGTCATCAGGTGTTTGTGAGGATCTTGATGAGAAACAGGAAGGTGACCTTTCAAGAAGTTCCTCAGCTTCCTCCCTGAAGCCTGCTCCGGCAGAAGGCATTTCGTGCAACCCCCTTTCAGAGGATATGACAGGTGATTCTGACACAATAGGACGTATCGATTGGAAGCCAGACATAGAGGAGAAGGTTCGCAACCATGTGAATACACCAAAGCTTCTTTCAGTTCAGGATCCTGCCTCTGATAAGTTTGAGTGGCTGCAATACTTTCCCAATATTCCCAAGAGTGAACTACTGGTTGACTATTTTCAGTGTAGTTATGTGAGTGGGGTGCATCGATTGGGAAAGTTGTACATAACGACGAACTACGTACTGTTTTCATCGGTTATGATGGGGGAAGGATTGCAAATCAGTTTTAAGGATGTTAGGAGTATCGAAAAGGAGCAAACCATGATGATACTTGATGGTATAGGTATAAAACTGAATAACGGTAATATATACAGCTTCACAAGCTTTGTTAGCCGTGATGCCGCCTTCAATATTCTGACTCATTTTTTCACCGTCATGAAAACACTCAGCCCTCCCATCCAGAGCCCGCTCCTGGCTAATGAGAAGAACGATGTGAATACTGGGTTTGTATCAAAGACGAGTGAATCAGATGTGACAAAGTTCCCTGTTGTCGATTCGCTAAATGAGTTTTCGAAAGTACTGACAGATTATGGAGCAGCCTTGAGTGACTATACATGCTTCAAAAGGGAGCTTATGGAACCTATTACCCTACCTGAAGGCAAAACGGTCGTTGATGTGTTCAAGCTGTGCTTCGATGATGACAGTTCGTTGTTGGAGGAATATCACGCTGGTCGAAAAGACACCAATCAAAAGTGGGAGCCATGGCGGCCTGCTCTGGAAGGAAGTCCCCCTTTTTGTGGCCAAAGGCAATTCACATGCACAACGATAGTAAAGGCTTTGGTGGCCAAGTCTTGCCCATTCACCGAATACCAGAGATATGCGTTCATGAATATTAGTGGCAATCAACCCACTCTAGTTGTACAAGTATCGGGACAAGTTGAAGGTGTGATGTTTACCGATGCTTTTCGTGTAGAGGCACTGCTAGTCTTTTCACAATCAGATTCTGTTGTGACGATGCGTGCCTTTGGTCATGTCCAATTCCTGCGGGATGTATGGGTGAAGGGTAAGATTTTGCGTACCTCTCTAGACGTTGAGATGCCCGAGTGCTATAAGAGGCTTGGGGCAATGTTGGCAGAGCGTCTTCAGTATGGTGCTACCACTATTTCCTCAGAAGCCGCAAACCAGATGCAACCTGGCCCACCGCCAGTCAGTCTGGATGCACCTCTGAGATATGAGCTGTGCTCATCCGGCTTCAAGTGGAGGCCTGCTCTCTGTGGAGAATTGGTGTTGGAGAGTATTAGTGCAATATTCTGCATGAATGCATTGTTTCACGCCTATTTCTTTACTGTTCCTGCCCGTGTAATTGGCGTTGGCAACCACGCAGGTAAAACTGACGAGGGGCCTGTGCCTGCCTCTTTTACTGGTTCTCTGGTGGTTGCGGATGTGGTGGACTCTTTTGTTGTTGAGCTGGTTAGACCATTTCTAATCACTGCCTTGATTGGGCTACTGTGCATTGTCCTCTTTTCTCTGAGACGAACCTTGGGGCGCATGCGCTAGGGAAGGAAGCCAAAGAGAGGAAGCGCATTGTGGAGATTCGAAACCAAGCGCATATGATTCCAAGACCTGCTTTGGCATGAAGAATGAAATTTTCTTTTCTTTTCCTTTTTTCTCCTTTCCCTTCAGTGTTTTTTTTTTTCTTCCTTTTCTGCGGTCAGCCGTCAAGAAAGGGATGAACCATGGGAGACTGACCACTGAGACAGTATCCTCTCTTCTAGAGCACCAGAAAGTATTGCTGAACGATGGTAAGGGGTTTGGTAGAAACGGAACCACCGCATCTAGTATTAGTGGCTTTCCTAATGATGGTGCCAACATTAGTTATCGCTTAGGGGAGTCGGGTGTAGGTGGTGTCTCACCGTCACCACCATCCCCGCAAGCTAGGCGCCCAAGACCGCAGTCGGCCGCAAGGTATGAGGGGTCAGATGATTGGAAGCAGAGCCCAGCATACGGTGGCCATCGTGATGGAGGCTACTTTAGCCGCAGTTACGGCGGCAGTAATGGCGAATTACATAGTCAGAGATATAGCGAGCATCCTCATGGGCATTCTAATTCAGCGCGGAGGCGCTATGGGGAGAATAGCTCCTATGTCACAGAGGATGGGAGTGATGTAAACGGAAGTTTTCTCCGAAGTGCCTCTTTTTCCGCTTCGGTTGCAGAGTCGTCTAGCTCCCTGCTCTTTAGTCCGAGCACTCGCTCCACCACGCACCGCTCTGGATCTGGCACCTCAGCCTTCCGCGCTGTTAGAGGGTCTGCAGATGTGCCGCTGCTTCTCGCTTCGACATTGTCGGAAAAACAAGCAACACGAGTTCGAGCCTCCCTCCAAAACAGCGGTGGGCGAACTCAGAGTGGAACGAGGGTAAAGGTGCTTGAGCTCTTGGAGTATTGGATGAGTGACGTGATGACGGGAGCCGCGATTGAGCGGTTGATCGCGGAGGCATTCCGAGACGCTGGGCTCACGGATGGTGGCACTGCGACGACGGAGAATGGCTCCAGTCGAGGCACCGATGCACGCATTGGGACGGTCAAGACTGCAGATTTAAGGCCACGCCCTCCGCCGGAGGAGGACAAACCGATTCGGTGCGACGTCACGTATCAATCGTCATCGTCGTCATCATCATCGTCAGGCTCTTTATCACGTGGTGGCGTAGAAGCAAATCGGGGAGAGGAAGAGATGAGGGGAAATTATAATCAACCGTTGTCGCCATCGCCATCGCCGTCGCCGCCGCCGCCGCCGCAACGGCAACGGCAACGGCAACTGCAACTGCAGCAACAGCAGCAGCAGCGGCAATTAGAAGGAAGGAGAGGAGGTGTAGAATCGCTTCGTGAGAGGGACGCAAAGGTGGAGGTGACCCCTGCGCCTTCCAGGAGCGAAACACCGTGTGCACAGCGTTCTCCTGATGCTGAGCCAATGGTGCCATCGCCTCGACTGCCTCTTCCAAGTCCGCCACTGGCTGCGCCTATCAAAGTGTCGCCACGTGCAGCCACCGTACAAGCTCCTGTTTCCAGGCTGGTGACGTACGAAGATGTCCCGCGTTTCTATTTTCCCAAAGGTGCACCACAAGCAGAAGAAGAGACGCTGATGGGCCCCATGAGGAAGAAACATGATAATCCGCATCTACAGGTGGTGGAGGGGATGGCGCTCCCTCGGGCTGTGTACACTGCCGGGGAGGACCGTGCCGCTTTCATGAGTAGCGATGTTCTACCGGGGCGAAGGACAAGAGCCGTCCCGATTGCCCCTCTGAAGGCAATGAATGACAAGAATGTCCCACACTTCTTACAAAAAGAGTTTAGTCGTCTTCCAGCGTCACCCAAACCTCATCATGGCACACGTCCTCTTAGCGCACATGGAAAAGGGTTTTTAGGTCTCAGCAGCGGCTTGCAGACGAGGCAAGGACTGAATTACAGGATGCAGCTGACGCAGGCGATGCAACGAATCTGTACGCAGTGTTTCGGCCTCCCTAAATACTTTGCCTATCTCTTGGTGAGAATCCTGCAGGCGGAGACAGCGAGTGGGAATGCGGGTACGAGGACTAACCGCAGTAGCTCATCCGTCGCGTTATCCGCACCGACCTTGTTAACGGGATTGCCTTCTTCATACCAGGTGCACATTACGGCACAACAACTTCGGTGGCTGTTTGAAACCCACTTGCGTGATCGGTGTATTACCCGCCGGGTGTTCGAGGTCCTTCTTCTTAGTTCTCGCACTACCACAGGTGACTCTAAGATGGCTGCTGAGAGCGATAACGGCTCAACGACAGCGTCAACTACTGAGCTGCAACAACAGGGGCAGCAGCGGTCTTACTTGTTGCCAGAAGATTTTCGTGCATATATTGAAGTTCTACTGGAGCACCACCCAGGTCTTGCCTTTTTGAAACAGACACCTGATTTTCAAGCGAGGTATATGGAGACGGTTATTTACCGCATTTTCTACAGCCTCGACCGTCTTGATCGTGGACACATCACGTACGCGGAACTGGAAAATTCTTCCTTCCTGGACGCTATTCGTCAGGTTGATGCAACAGACGACATCAACTCTGTCCTGCTTTACTTCTCCTACGAGCATTTCTACGTTCTGTACTGTCGGTTTTGGGAGCTTGATGAGGACCGGGACATGCTGCTCTCCCGTGAGGACTTTATGCGGTATGCTCCAGAGAACGTGATGAATCCCATTATCGCAGACCGTACCTTTAACGGCGTGGGCCGCCGAGCGAAATGCACGGCAAAGAACCGAATCAACTACGAGGATTTTGTTTGGTTTTGTCTATCCGAGGAGGACAAGTCTACGCCAACGGCGATACGGTACTGGTTTCGCATCCTTGATCTAGACGGCGATGGCGTCCTTTCCATGTACGAGCTGCGTATTTTCTACGAGGCGACGAGAAAGACGGTGATGGACTTCGTGCCGGACGGGGCCGCGGCATTTGAAGATGTTATCTGCCAAATCTTCGACATGTTTGGCGTTGAGGCGTCCTGCGGGCTGCGTCTTCGAGACCTCCTTGCGAAGCCCGAGGCGGCAGGGGTGGCGCTCAACATGGTGACCAACGTGGTGCGCTTTTTGCAGTTCGAGCAGAAGGACCCGTTCGTTGCTCACCAGGAGCGTCTCAGCGGCGGTCTGGAGCAGACGCCGTGGGACCGTTTTGCACGAGTCGAGTACGACCGCATGGCGCAGAGTGTTGGGAACGAGTGAGACTGAGAGACAGCAAAGAAGCGCACGTGTCTGTTGTTTCTTTTCGTTTTTCTGCGCTGTGGGCCTCTGGCGAGGATATAATAGGGCCCAAGGTGTAGGGTGTGTGAAAGAGAGAGAGAATGCTTGTGTTTGTGTTTGTGTGAGAGAGAGAGAGAGAGCGCGAGAGCGAGCAGACATATAGGGAAGGGAATAGAGGTTAGCGCACTTTCATTCCCTCCTTGCTGTTTTTGTTGTTATTGTGTATGTCGCTCTGTGCGACAAGGCGCGAACGCCGAGCTAAAAGGGCGTGGCGGTTTGTATGAGGCATACTTCCCCAATCCCCTCCCACCGTGTATGTTACTTATGTCTGTTGCATTTGTTGTGTTGAAGAAAAAAAATCAGGAGAAAAAACAAAAAACAGTGAAGCAAGAGGAAGGCAGCCCCTTTGGTCAGCCCGTGAAGTGAGGAGGAAGTGAGACGGATTGATACTAGAAAAAGAGAAGATCAACAAACGTCTCTTCCTGCTTCTCTGTACAAATGCGTATATTCTTGTATATACACCATATGCATCTTCCGCACCTCCCTCCTCCATCCATCGTTGAATGATTTATTGCAGGCCTACCCATTTGGTTCTGTTCATCTGACTTGTAACGCGGTTCGATATTTCTGGTGCTATTGCTCTCCCTCGCTCTCTCTCTTTCACTCCCCCCCCCTTCCCTCTCGTCTGTCAGTCTGTCAGTTCTTTTGCCAGCCGTGTTTAGGCCCTGGGCCTAGTCGAGGCGACATGTGGATGTATCCTCTCGCTCTCTCCTCCCGTCTTGTTCCCCTCATGCCACACGACATGTGCTTTATTGCGGAGGGGGACAAAGAGAGAAGGTGAGAGAGAGAGAGAGAGCGGGATGAAAAGAGGGAGGAAAGGGGTTGGGGGAAAAGTGGTGGATGATGGGGATGGTGGCCTTCTCTGTCGATCCTCTTGTGTGCTAGTCATATGTCCTGTTTTTTTTTTTCATTTATGTGCGTTCATGTGAGTTTTTCTTTTCTTTTTTTGCAGCCTGCGCGCAATGTGTGGCACGAGCCGATGTGCGCGGCTGCAGGCGTTTCTTGTTTGCATGCGAAACATACGAGGAGCAGTGGTTGGACCAAAAGCGGCGATTATAAAAAGAGAGAGTGGTGAGAGTGTGTGTGCGAGAGAGAGAGAGAGATAGAGAGAGGGGGAGAGAGAGAGGTACAACTTCTCTAAATGGACTGTCCGCCGTATACGTGTCTCTGCAAGTGTGAAGGCGTAATCGAGGCCTCCGTCTGCCTTCTGCCATTTTTTGTTCTCCATCTAGCTGTAGAAGGAGAGAGGGGGAGCGATAGGGGGAACCAAAAATCGATAAAGAGAAACGGCCAGCTTGCCACAGGTGTCTGCGTAGTGGAAAATGCGGCCGGTGCGTTTTTTGTTTTCTGCTGCAGCCACCGCTGCGCCTCAGGCAACGAAGGAGACTTCCAAAGCTGCAGCAGCGGGTAAACCACGTCGCGCGTTTGCACCGTTGCGCATTCATCCGTGGCAGGCGCAGTGCCTGGGCACCTCGCGCTCCGAGCTGCTGCCTCAGGGAGTGCTGTACCACGGCACCCACCTAGGCCCGCGCCCACTCATCATACTGGACCACACCACGAAGAGTGCCGCAGAGGCAGAAGAGGCGGCGAAGAAGTACGAGGCGCTGCTTTCCGAGTTGGCGTGGGGCCACGGCGCCGTGTACGTTCCGCTCCACGTGGACTACGCGGGCGCGACGCGGGACGTGCTGGACCATTCCTGCCGCCAGGTATGCGCCGTGATGGATGCGCTCGATGTGCGCTGGACGCACTTCCTGGCGTACTCGTATGGCTGCCTCGTCGCCGCGCGCATGGCGGCCTCGGAGGAGTTCCCGCACCGCCTCGGCACCTTCACCTCCCTCGACACACCGCTGGTGACGCGTGAGCAGCTGAACAACACGCAGCGGCGCGAGGATATCGCCAAGGCGGAGAAGGACGTCAACGTGCCGGAGGCAGACTTAGCCTTCGCGAAGCACACCCTCCTTGGGTCGCTGGAGGAG